TTATTGAACGTCAGCTGTATTGTTTCAATCGTTGTAATAACTGATATCTAAACAAATATCCAAATATAATTATCAACGCTTTTGTCTAACTATAAACATAAATGTATAATAGTGTATTCAAGATATATCAAACTAGCGACTCATCCTCGCTCGGCTCGGGTTCGGACCTAGCTTGATTCCCAATACAAACTTTCATCCCTATTTTCACTCCCTTAAGGGATGATTTCCGGGATAAAAAGTATCCTATGTCCTTCCCAGGGTCTCAAACTATCTTCTTACCAAATTACATCTAAGTCGGTTTAGTAGATTCAGAGATTACCCCCTACAACGTCACAAACTCACAAACTTTACCTCTTTTTAATATTAGTATAGATAAGCCTTTTAAAGGGTTTGCTAGTAGGTAGCTAATGCAGAGTTCTACTATCAATCTTTTGACTCCATCATCAAATTATCTTGATGGTATCAATTTATTATAATGTATAATAACCGACCGACATCGGCCACGGCGGCCATCTCATTGAGACTAGCCAACTGCGCAGGATATAAATTATAGTGCGCAAGTGTACGCGCAGACACAACCTGCACTTTTTATTCCTGTCACTCTCATACTCCGGTGTGTCCCGGATAAGCATGGAACATTTCACGAGTAGCAAGTGAAAAATCACATGAAATGCGTTATCATACGTCACACCTGCTACTTAAATTCACAGTGACTGCTACAAATCACCATAAACTTTATAGTCGATTTTTGCCTCTTCGGCTTGTGCAAATCGGCAGATTATTGAATTGGACACTTTTCAGGATGTGACTAGCCTACCACACCTTAATCTGACGGTTTCAAGTATTTCTACCTTATCAAAACATTATTTAAATATTTTAATCGGCTTCCCTAGACGCGCCCCTTTATATAGAAGACTTATATTATGGTGAAAGTACTCAATAGAGTGCAAGGTAACCTCTTTTATGTTAATCTGCCGCGCTCGAGTAACTACAGAAAATCCCCTCTTGGGCTCCCCTACTAATACTTCATTTTAATAGCAAATAATATAAAGTGTGACACCAGACCGTCGAAATAAAAAATCATTGCCTGTGAAAAGTAGCAAGTGAAATCACGTGAAAATATACGTAATTATATCATATGATAATGATTTAAAAGTAGCAATCATATCCATGCTTAGTCCCGGATGACTACTCGACACTCGCGGTGAGAGTTAAAGCGCAGGACCGACGCGACACGTGCTTCCCGAGGCACGGGGGTGAAACACCGCCAACTTCCTCCGGGTTGCTATTGAGACTTTCTTGATAGAAAAATCTCAATAGCTTAACTTTGCTCGACCCGGGACTCGAACCCAGGACCTACAGATCAGCAGCCGTACTGCGTACATACTAGCCACTATACCACTGAGGCAGTTACACGACACAATACCTATATTACAAGTGAAGTTAATAATGGCGTGTATAAGATATTTTCTGAAATATTTGAATTTTGAATCTATCCGCTATCGTAGCGGGTAGAAACGCTGTTTAGTCGACCAAAGTAATTAAAACAAGGTTTTTAATAATATCAATTGCTATAATAATAACATGCATTTATTTCTTCTCTATTTTATTTTGTATACATTCATGGTTATCGAACTGCTTATTATTTCCGAGCTACGGAAAATCTACCTCATAAAATAACCAACACAATTTCGTTCTTTTGCACGATTGCACATAATATACCTATCTATTTAAAAAATATATATTCAAATAATGTTTATTAGTATGTAGTAGAAGTCATATTTACAACTACTAATGCTTTGACCGACTTCAAAAGAGGAGGAATTCAAGAAGTGTTACGTGATATCTTCCGTGTACATTTTTAAATAATTTATTATAATATTATAATTCATTATTTATTTCCTAATAAGATTTGCTGGCTTTACAGGAGAAATACTCAAAAAATTGTACGTACGTTTTCAAAATATCTTGTGAAATATTATGTAAAAGTTAACACAATATGGATTTACAAATACACCTAATTAATATTTTATACATAAAAATTAAAATGTAAATAATTAAAAAAATCATCTAAACATCAACACCATAGTCTATATAAAAACTTGTTAATAGATTTAAATGGAAAATATTTTTGACTAGTTTACCTAATCTTGAAAATAACACGATTCTATAAAAACAATAATAATAGTTTCTTATAATTATATAACAATTTAAATTAAATAATAAATTTTAAAATATTTACTCTAAAAAAGGACGTGTTAAAAAAATTGTAGAGTTAGTTAGTTAAAGATTTTCAGTCAGTAACTTTAATTGTTTCTTAGGAATTGAGCGTAATTTAATAATAATCATTACACAACTATATGACCTTCACTGTTAGTTAACTTCGTGATAAAAACTTGCTTTGACGTAAATAAGAAACATAGAATATTAATTATATAAAATAGTATATATAATATAAAAATAATTACAGATTATAAATAATGTGCAGAATATAATAATTATAAGAAATAAAAAAAATAAAAAAAGAGCCGCCCGAACAGGGACTTGAACCCTGGACCCTTGGATTAAAAGTCCAATGCTCTACCGACTGAGCTATCCGGGCTCATATCATGGTTGTCTAAAAAGCTATTCGGATACCACACCAAATTTAGTTTATTTACATAACCGTTTTTTATAACAGGAACATATTATATACAAACTAGCGACTCACCCTAGCTCCGTTCGGGTTCGTCACTAATTTACACTATAACGTTTAGTTTAGATTTCTCAGAAATAAGATATTTTCCCGTAGTAAAAAATATCCTATATGTTGACCCGGATAGCCAGCTATCTAATAAAAAATTTATCAAAATCTGTTTAGTATTTTTTTAAACTATAGATCCGGCCTGTGTATCGATAATAATGACTATTTCAATAAGATTTTCCAAAAAATATTGAGTGTACAGATTTGACTCAGAATTTTATTACGAGTATATGTATAGATAAATAGGTATAATAAAAAATATAAAGTTAAAATATGTGTGAATTGAAGGTTATCTCAATATCTAAACAAAGATAAACAAAATAAATAGAAAAAATATTATAGTACATGATATTGCTTCATATTTCCTTTAAATATCGTGACCCACCACTCCCTTTTCACTTTAACCATGCATGTTGGGTATCTAATAAAATCAGGTTTGTATAAATTAAAATTAAAGGAAAATATAGCTCTGGTCGCCGCCTGTTACTTTACACAAATCTATACCTATTTAATACTAGCGACTTACCCTCGCTTCGCTCGAATGCCTGTCTAGATACTAGGTTTTAATTTTTTTTAAGTATTTTAGAGATCAGTTTTAAAGATTTTTATAAAAAATAGCCTAAGTTACTTCTTATAGCATCCGCTATCTACCAGTGAAAGTCCCGTAAAAATCGGTCCAACCGTTTCGGAGTTTAGCCGGAACAAACAGATAGACAGGCAGACTGTCAGGCAGACAGACTGCTGAAAGACAGACAAAAAAATGCTTTTTTTTATTTAAAGTACCATATACACTTCATCATATGTACTTATAATAGAAAGTTGTTATTTTTACACTGACACTTCAATTTTATTTATCTGTATAGACGGTCTGCTATAGTTAAAATATTATAAAAGTAAGATAAAAAGTCTAATTTGTAAAAATTAACTAAGTATTTCTCTAGTGCAATATGTTATCTACAAAAATACTTAGAAACTACATTTCGCTTTAAATAAAACAATCTTCTCGGATTTTTCGGCGAATTTATTTTTAATTCGAAACGTCGGATACTAAAAATTTAAATATCCGCGAAAAAAGCCGAAAAGAAAAAAAGAAAAAAAAGAAAGTTTTATTTAAAACTAGCACTGCCCGCGGCTTCGCCCGCGTTTAGATCACCAAAAACCAATTTCTTAGGTTTTACATATTAGTATACTCTTACATAGCAGTTTTTGTATTTTTTTCTCAAAAATGAGATATTTTCCCGCGGTAAAAAGTATCCTATATGTTGACCCGGATAACCAGCTAACACCATACCAAATTTTACCAAAATCCCTCCAGTGATGCGGTAACAGGCAGACAGACAAAAATTCTAAAAACCATACATTCGGCCTCTGTATTGATAATAATGTCTATTTCAATAAAATTTCGCAAAAAATATGTAATGTACTCGTACATATTCGGCTTAGTTACAATTTTATTATATGTGTAGATGTCAAATATTCGAGTAAATCTAAGAAAGCATTACCTTTCGCTTTTTGCCTCCTTATAACACATGAGCCTACTATCTGATACAGTGCACCGGCTTAGTATTTTTGCCTGCTTAGATATTTATTTCTAAAATACGAGTTTGTTATAAAGTATGTAAGCAGTATAGACGTGTCGTCGCCTTACTTATTTGTTTAAAGGACCAATACTTATTGCATTTTACATTAGAAAGGTTTTTTCTTCTATTTTAAAAACAAAATGTTCTTTCTAAGATTTGTATATTATTATACATAAAAATAATTTTAAATTGTACAATGTGTATTGAATTACAATAAAATTAATATTTAAATATTAATATTTCTGTATTAAAAACTCTTTCGGTAAACTGGTCGTCTGGATAAATAAGCACTGAGACGACGATATGTTTCAGGTTTTACCAAAGTCAAGGAGTCGCGATCGCGCTTCATTATATTATTATCAATATGTCACATATCTAGATACCACGTATCTAAGTCTTGTATCTACGTTCTGAGCAAGGCACAGCGTAAGAAGAGAATAAAAAACCGAGGCAACAATCCTTTCCAGCGAATTAATTATATCATTTCACACAATTTCCTTCAACGTTTTGCTTACAAAGCACTTGGCGATCATTCGGTCGCGCGCTGTCGCTGCACGCACACGGCTAAGCGGTATTGTGAATTATGAACTAACCATCTCATTGAACATTGAACTCGACCCAAATATCGATACATATAAAATGTCTCGTGCGTCCCTTTTCAAAACTTACTTCTAAAAATGACCAAATACAAACTGAACAACTCGGTTCGATCCTCCTCCGAAGTGACCCTCACGTCCTACATGACAGGCAGCACTGACAGCGAAAGGAAAGATGACAGGAGTTACCAAATACCGCTGGACACCAATGAGAACGATGATGTATCAGAATCGAATCACAATTTAGAAGATAAATGCCATGTTTGTCCGAACTCCTGCGAGTTTCTTCAGGAACCGGGGAAGATAGCTGCGTCTTTGGCAAAGCGGTACGACAAATATAGTTTAAACGAGTTGAAAGTGGAAAATTTGGGTCGAGATGCGTGTCTTTGTGAGAAGTACAATGGGGGATGTAAACTGTGTCCGCGACCGAGCCTCGCCCCCACTCTGACGCTGAGCTACGACGGTAGCCACGGGAAGGACCACTGCTACACTTGCCAAGGTGCATCGTGCGGTACCCCCAATCCAGGTAAGTCCTTGCATTCCCTCCTAATACTGAGTATTTATATTAAAATAATTTATATATATATATATATATATATATATATATATATATATATATATATATAATTTTTTGCCTATGACTTAATAAATAAATTGTACACAAAACGTGTATATATTTCGCAAATGGATTGTACGTCGACTTCATCTCTGTAAACATCAGAGTTATTTCAAAACAAGTGAAAGTATGCTAACATATATTTAACCTGGGTGTAAATTACGACTGTGAGATTTATATTTGAATATCATTAAATGTTAGATAGTGTAAAAGATTTTGGATAGTTAATTTTGCCTCTATTTTTCCTTTTCAAGTTCCCTTAGCTTCGATAGTAAGCGGAAACTTCCCAAACAGACTTTCGAATTCTTAATATTCATGAGTTGACAAAATAAACTATAAAACTAGTTTTATTTCTTTAATTATGTTAATTTTGGACCGAAAAATAATCATTAATCACCACGTCTTGCTTTGACTTTTAATTTATACCCATATTGCATCATTATTGTTCATCTAATTTTTGGCATGGTGGGTTAAACTCTATACTCGCACCTTTTATCTATTACTATTTCAATAATATAAAACCTAAGTTGGACGTTGGTTGACAGTATTTTGCGGCGGCGCTAAGCCACCTTGACCATGAACGTAAAAGGAGAGCCGATACTTAATAGATTACGGAAAGAGTGTTTACCGTTTTTAAAAAACTAGTTACGTTAATGGTAACGTCTAATCTAGAATGAGGAAACTACATCAGCTCTCTTTTTACCCGACTCCGGCGAAGCCCAAAGGAGGGTTATGTTTGAACTGCATGTATGTGCATATGTATGTCCGAAACTATGTTCCCTTGTAATTACTAAACGGCTTAACCGATTTTCGTTATTAATTAGATAAGAAAATTATGGAATATAAAAGGCCTAGTGTACTTTATTTTAAAGTCTCACACTTCCTAAATTAAAAGTAACAGGCAGGGGAATCAAAAGGAAAAGAACACGTATTGATCATACAACAGATGGTTGTCCAATACACAAGTAAAGATATCATACAAAAAAAACCCATCCATATTACGGTAAACATTTACTTGATTACCTAAATCTGACTTATATTATAAATGTGACAGTTTGTATGTGTGCATGTATGTTACTCTTGCACGTTTAAATGGCCGAATTTGGTTAAAAATTATTACATATAGGTAGTTTATGACCTGAAGTAACACAGGCTACTGTTAGACTCACAGGGACGCACCAGGGCGAAGCGGGGGTAAATCGCTAGTTACCTATACTATGTCTTCAAGTCGATACACCTATCGCTATTTTGCTGTATTAAATTAATCCCTCAACGACAGCAGACACGCCGGCGTTACAGTTAATAATAGATTTCTTAGTAATTTAATTAATTTCTTAGAAATTTACCTTGAGGTGTTAAAGAGTTTAAATGTTTCTAGCTTTTACTAAGCATCCTTTATTTTCATTTAACTAATACATACAACAATTCAGATTATATTTTCAGAATGATACAGTAAATGATTAATTTGCTCGAATACCGACCCCAATGAGGAAGACATCATACAATGGAGTATTCTATAATATGTTACTTTAAGGAAAAATCTTTACATAACTCTGAAGTCACAATGCGGAAAGCGCACTTTTGATTAGCGGCTCTACATTTAAACCTTTGTAAACCTGGCGCTTTAACTACAATAGAATAATTAAAAGTCCTCGCGACCTTAGAATAAAATATAAAGTCGTGATAATATCTTGCTCGTACATCTTAATACGATTTATTACTTTTATTACATTTTGTAAGTTTTTTTGTCTACACATATACCTACTTATTATATATGTACGTACATAAAAACTAATATATAACACATAAAGATAACAGTTGGTTATATATATTTTTTTCAATAGATTTTTTTAAATATCTTAGAAGTTTAACGCACATCACCATCTAGTTCCATGGTAAGCTACGAGGCTTGTGTTATGGATACCAGATAGTTGATATACTACACATACATAACTTTAAATATATACAATAAATAGTATAAATGTAAACAGTAAAACACACAACTACAACACCCTTTTTTTTCTTTTTTTTTTTAACGTTGGGAAATGCATTTACGCACGAGGTGTGGGACTCACCGGCAAAGCCAGTACTACCCACTAAAACCCAACAAAACCTTCCTCCGTCTTAATGGGGCGTCGCAGGATCGCTTACGCATTCAACTACGACGCCCCGACGGCAGGTCTGCCGAAGCAGACCACAACAACCACGGGGTTGCTCCACAGTCCACTCTGCTATCAGAGAAGTACCAGGAGCAACCCGCATGGTACACCGCCCTCCGAAGAGGGCCACCTCCCACCGCCCACCGAAGTGGGCCACCTCCCTGTGCGTTTCTTGGCTTCGCGCCCGGTTGGGTTGCCGGGCACTACTGAGCCCCCCCACCACGACAAGGTGAACGCACGTTGGGGGGGACAACTACAACACCCTGGACTGGAATAAAACATTCGTGCTCACCACACAAATGAATGCCCCCAGCGGGACTCGAACACACGACCGCTGGCATAGCAATTAAGGTCACTGCAATCTGAGCCAAACGCTAAATAATTATATTTTGTTTATTCTTAACCAGTTATTATTACGTACTATTTAAAAATTGTTGTTATTTTATATATATTTTTCTGTTTTTGTAATTATCTCGATAGGTAGGTTCAAAAGTAAGTTTTAATAATAACTGTATTTCCAAGGAAACTTATAAAATTTGTCACTATTTTAACTAATACATTCTTAGATTTACGCGAATATTTGACAAACTATCTTTTCGGATTATTTCGCGGATTTATTTTGATTTTTGGTGCCCGACGTTACGAATGCTTTCTTTTGTTTTCTTTTTTAAATCAAAAACCGACAGTGATGTCTGTAAGAAGTGTATATCGCCTTTAAGATGTCTATAACCTCAGTCACTCCTGCGACCATGATTGCTGTAAAACATACGAAACGTCGGGAACCAAAAATCCAAATAAATTCTCGAAATAATCCGAAAAGATAATTTTATGGCATGTGAGAGCCGTTTGACCCCTTCAGAATCATTCTAAGCCGTCTTCTATACGGCAATACTTCCTTCCCGATAGTTTTGTAAGTCATTTCAGTCCAAACCTCGCAGGAGGTGCCCGTAGAAAACTATTCCCTTCGAGCTTCATGCTCAATCCCTAGGCAGGACCTTGAGTTCGCCTCCCCGCCCGATGACGCCGTCAAAGCTAGTAGGACCAACAGCAACAACATATTCACAAAAAAAACTAACAGACAAAAAAAAATTATTTATCTACCTGGTCGGTCTAACAGATAAAAAATCAATAATACTTATTCATTCATCTACCTGGTCCTGTACTTAGCTTAAAGTTTGCATCAATCATTAAAAACATACTTAAATTAGTACTCTAAATGTTCCACTAAAATTGCCCTTCAGCCATGTAGCATTATATTATGAGATCTAGTCCATATCTATACTAATATTATAAAGAGGTAAAATTTGTGAGTTTGTGAGGGGAGGATGAAATTTAGTAAAAGATAGATTGAGACCCTGAGAAGGACATAGGATAGGGTTTTTATCCCGTAAATCATCCCTTATGGGGGTGAAAATGGGGATATAAGTTTGAACCCGACCGAAGCGAGGGTGAGTCGCTAGTATTTAATATACACGCGTCTTATATATTTATATAAATAGACAAAGACAAAAGAGTTCAGTACCTTTTCTACTTTGTTAGTCGACCAATTTTCGTCGTTTTTTGTTTAGTAACTACTGACAAGCTTTAGTGTTTACAATAAATAATTTTGGGAACGGTGAGTTTTCTTTATATAGTAAGTTCTATGGTAATATATATTCTAATATTTTCCTCAAATCTCATATAATAAAATTGTAAGTAAGCCGAATCTGTACATTAAATAATTATTGGAAAATTTTATTGAAATAGACATTATTATCGATGCAGACCCCAATCTATAGTTTTTTTTAATTTTTGTCTGCCTGTCTGTCTGTCTTCGAACGCATCACGGGAAAACCACTTGAGGGATTTGATAAAAATTGGTATAATGATAGCTGGTTATTCGGGTCAACATATAGGCTAATTTTTACTGATCACCGTTTGTTGCACCGTGGTGGTTCACCGGCCGGGACGAACCCGAGCGGAGCGAGGGTGAGTCGCTAGTTTATTTATAATTTTAATATTATTTATGTTTTAACATCCTTATTCAGAAAATTATTTATTTTATTCTTTAATAATTAATTAACAACTAATACGTACATAAACAACGTCTCATAAACTAAATAACATTACCCACTTTCTGTGGTAGTTGGGTAATTAAATCTTTAGTTTTCGATTAAATATACAAGACAATTGTCTTCAATTCGTATATAAAAACAGCAGGAAGCGTTTCGGAACTAACCTCACTTCCTATAGCATCTGCAATTGCGTTTTTAGTACTTTATACTTTATCTAATAATTACTTTCAGTTTGTTTTTATATTAACGTATTGATTATATACCGCGGGTAAGAAGGTCGATTTATTCTAACAAATTTACATTACGTAATTTGTATCTTTACTTATTTCTGATATTATTAATAAGTTTATTTGTTTTTTCTACGAATATTTGCTTTACATACTACATGAGGACATATGCCTCATTGATTGAGATCGCTAGGTCTTGGGTTCGAGCCCAGGTCGGACCAAAATAAGTTAAGACTGAGAAAATGGGTGTATTTAAACTCCCGAGTCTCGGAGAACACGTAAATCTATCGGTCTTGTCCCTAATCTTTTACCGGTTGTAGATAAACAGGAATAGAGAGTGCAGTTTTATTTGCACACAATTGGCTAGTCTCAGTAAGATCGGTCAGTAACCGAATTCGGTTAGGGGAATATTACTATTATTGAACTGGGATAAAACTCACAGCGTCCGGCCTACAAACTGCGTCACATAATATCAATGTTTTTTTCCATTATTGTAAATGTACAGACGCGCGTGAACGTGACAAATGTTATGTAACATTTCCTACTTTATTTCACGTTTCCGAAATAATTTTAATATAACATCGCTTCTTTATCGCAAAACGTTCTGAAATAACCTTTTATAAAAACTTAAAAAAACCGACTTCCAGGCACTAAAATGTAAAAAATAACTAAACGGAGGTTTTCATTTAGAGGAGATAACTAATCAGATATTTTCGAAGTCGGTGCCAGCCGACAATATTTTAAGATATGAATATCTCATAGGTAAATACTCGTATATATTTTACGTATCGAAATATATTAGATTTGCTTTGGATCCGCTGGCATCGACTTCGAAAATATCTGATTAGGTATCTACTCTAAATGAAAACCTCTGTTTAGTTATTTTTTACATTTTAGTGCCTGGAAGTCGGGTTTTATTTAAGTTTTTATTTTTCAATTTTTTGTGTAGACGTAATAATCATGTAATTTGTAAGCAGAAAGTTTTTAATAACATATTCGACTAAACAATTTATTTAAAAAATATATTTATTGTTCATTTTTTTTTAAAACCGCTCGACCGATTTCGATAAAATTTATATGGGACCACCTGGGAAGCCTTTGAAACAAAAACAAATTCCAAATCGGTTCTGGCGTCTTGGAGTAATCGGTGAACATACATAAAAAAAAGAAAAAAAAGATTCCGACGAATTGATAACCTCCTCCTTTTTGGAAGTTGGTTAATAAAGTAGCTTAAAATTTTTATATGCTATCGACGGTTTTTTTTGGTACATATGCTCAAGATGCTGGAGCGGTATATGACATTCGTTTCTTTCTTATATGACTCATAACATATTGGTAGTTACTATGAAGTATTAAAAGGTAATTTTAATAAATCAGTGATTAACGGCAAATTTATGGTTCGTTTGTCGTTTATTTTGACGATAAAATATATTTTTATACCATATTTTATATTGTTGTTGTACTGCGGTCAGAATTAATATTATGTAGTTGAAGTATATAAGCGACCCTTGCTTGATCTATTCATCACAAGGAAAAAAATCATAACAGACGGTTTGCAATTTATATAAAACTATCTTTTCTGACTTTTGCGCGGATTAATTTTCATTTGTTGCTTCCGACGTTTCGAATGCTTTACAGAAATCTTAACGGTTTAAAATTTGAGAAGTAATCGCTTAAAATACACACATACATTCAAATTAAAAACTTCTCGTTCATGAAGTTGGTCAAATAGTATCTAGAATAGCTCAAATTGAGACTAGACGATACCAATGTATTTAGTAAAGTGCTTCAATTATGTTGATAGTTTTAAAGAATTAAGGAAGTAGAAAAGCAGCTTTCTACAGCATTTAATATTAAAAGCTATAAAGGAAAGCAGTTAGCAAGATATCTAGTTATAATTAAAACAGTTATAATTAAAGACAGATTCATAAGGTAACCATAAACAGAATATGAAAGTCTAATAACCCTTCCGAGGTTGCAAGTTTGAAACCGGTCAAGACTCTTTCTGCTTCTTTGTAGGTCGAAACTATAAAGCAACCTAGTGGTGGTAAAGGCAGGGCTGTCTTAAGCCAAGCAGGTGTTCCTGGGCACCTCTTCGGAGGGCGGAGTACCATGCGGGTTGCTCCTGATACTTCTCTGATAGCAGAGTGGATCTTGGAGCAACCCCGTGGTTGTTGTGGTCTGCTTCGGCAGACCTGCCGTCGGGGCGTCGTAGTTGTATGCGTAAGCGATCCTGCGACGCCCCATTAAGACGGAGGAAGGTTTTGTTGGGTTTTAGTGGGTAGTACTGGTTTTGCCGGTGAGTCCCACACCTCGTGCGTAAATGCATTTCCCAACGTTAAAAAAAAATAAAAAAAGGGTTTTTTAAATAAAACTATCTTTTCTGATTTTGATTTTCAGACAGCCTACCCACAATTAACAAAACTGCTGGCTGTCTGTAACAACTATACCTTCAAGACATGTAACACCTCAGTCTCTCCCGTGACCATGGATGCTGTAAAGCATTCGAAACGTCGGGAAACAAAAATGCAAATAAATCCGCGACAAAATCCGAAAAGATAGTTTTATTTAAAATGTCATATATTCGCGTAAATCTAAGAAAGTATTAAAAAAAAGGGTTCCTGGGCACAGAATAATTTAGGGTTCTTTTTGAAAGATGAAAAAATTTGAATGACAAAAAAAAACTTGATGGCGTAAAGAAGTCTACGCTAAAAATATAGACAAATTAACAAAGGAACATAATATTATTCAGTCTATAGTACACAGCGCAGTGTAGTGTAAATTAAAAATTGAGTTTCTATCTTTTCCATGTAAACGAAAATGTTGTTTTTTCGGGGCCCTAGTGAGGCTGGGGGCCCTGGGCACGTGCCTTGTGTGCCCTTATAGTAAAGACGAAATTGGGTAAAGGATAATACATAAGTTTACACAAACCTCTAAATAAATATTGAAATCAATTTGAACATATCCTGTTAAATAAGCACAAAACTCTGTCAAATAAATATAATTTGAGAGTATAACAATCATATTTACGCAAAAAAAAACAATTCGATCATTTTTACGTAAAAAATTATTGAAAACAGTATCTACTAAATTAATTCATTATCAAAGTTGACCCGACCGTTACTCTGAACTCAGTATTGGACTATTCAGTTTTTAATTGTGTGGTATACATCTTAATCTATAATAAAAATAATTATTATATGTTGAATATTAGATAATAATTCAATTTTTTATCATCGTAAACTGGTATTTGTAGAATATAAAAAAAGTATTTAATAGAGTCTTAAAGTCGTCTAAAATTTACATTAGCATTTATTAACAACAGATAAAAAATATACACAAATGGAACCTTCTGAAACAAAAAAGTAAAATGGAACGTAAGACTAAACAAGTCAAGTGTACATTTTAAACTTGACGATGTAAAGACTAGACTTTACATAGAAATAGCGCACCTGAATTGATATGATTGTCAATTCTCAATCAATGAATGTCAGGATGATTATAAATATAAATAAATATATTGGGACATTAAGACACCACACCATCTAGTTCCATAGTAAGCTACGAGGCCTGTGTTATGGATACCAGATAGTTGATACTACACATATATTATTACTTTAAATACATACATATTATAAATATAAACAACCATGACTGGGGTACAAAGATTAGTGCACGTCACACAAATGAATACCCCCAGCGAGACTCGAACCGGCGGCTGAGACCAAACTGAGCCAAACGTGTCCGTTAATGAGAGCTTGCAGTGTGTGGGAAAGACAACACTTTCCAATAGTAAATCTACGATATTAAAAAAAAATGAAATTCTATTTCTAAAAC